TGGTGGGCCCATAACCAGCAGGCTAAGGGCAGTTTAAGTGGGTGCTAGAACCGGCTTAAGAAGGGGGCTACTCTCGTAGACTCAAGCACGCACAGATAAACTGTCAGCGAGGTTATTATAATGTACGAAGACGGGAAGGGAGGAGAGTATCAAGGGAGTATGTAACCCTAGTTAAGATGTTGGTTGCTCATTATTTGTTCCCGCTTCGCACCGGTAGATAGCGCCAGGCATGAGGCACTTAAGCGCGCCTAGGGGAGGCGCCGAGTTGCGAGCTGAGTTCTGTTGGGTTTCTCAAGTCCAGGTACCCCGAGTGATAGACTGCAAGCTTTTGGTAGACTGCAAGCTCATCTCTTAGTGCGATAACCTTGGCTCGCATCATGTCGACGTCGGCACTGAACTTGGCATGCAATTGTACGACAGTGTCAGCCGATTTCTTTTTCTGTCGAATCGCTTCTGTTATTCTCTTGCGTAATTTTAGTGCTTGTTTTGCTTTGATCTCAGCGGCATTAGTATTATGGCGGAGGTGAGTAGAGGTGGAGGCAACAATACTATCACTAGTACAAGCGGAGAGGAGGAGACCATCCCGGAAACGAGTGTCGTGGTGTCTTGCCACGCGAGCAGCCTCTGTGACTGCTTCACGAACCTTGGTTGTTTCCTCATCAGCGCACCCATGCTGTATGTGAAGTCGCTCTAATGCCGCGACATGTTTGGCGAGGCTGTCGCGCCTTTCGCGTCGAATGCTCTCCAGAAAATATGCGTGTGTCACGTTAACTGCTCCAGCTTTATCTCGCGCTTCGAGCTCCTTTTTTGCACGGTGAGTAAGACTATCACGCTCGGCATTTGCTCCAACTGCCGCCTTGCTGACAATCATGCGTGCAGTTTCTATAGAAGAGCGAACAACTGCACCACACGCTTCCTTGCTTGCTACGTGTGTTGCTAGAACGCGTTTCTGATCGAGGGTTGTGTTCGCTTGCGCAGCGTTGTCCTCTGTCGCAAGGCTTGCCGCGCGCATCCTTTCCGCCTCTGCTGCGGCACGCTCAACCTGGCCGTGCGCAGCAAGCAACGAGGCTCGCAGCACTTCTGCGCTGCCAAGTGCGACAGCAGTTTTAGAAAGAGCCGAGGTGGCATGTTCTGCAGAAGACGAAACTACCTCTCTGAGCGCTGCTTCACAATTCTCTACAATGGACACGTGTTTTATCACCACATCAAGATCAGCAAGCGCCATATTGCGATCAGCTTCAGAACGCAACAATGCCGTCCGTAGCTGCTTGCGGCGCAACGTCTCTTGCCTAAGTGTTTCGACCTCAATCGCTAGTTTCCGACGCCGATTCTCTTCGTTATTCAATTCAGCACGCAGATTGCAGGCCGCTCCCCTCACTATCCTTGCCATCGCCTCCGGCAATTGATGACTAGCACCAAAATTGGGTATTTCCCTTAGATGTTCGCTGTCATAATTTTCTATCGAAGCGGCACTGCGCCTATCATCCAAAACATGATAAGTACGAGCTTCGTCCTTTAGATCACTATCAGGCAGGATTTGATCAATATTGCACAAACCATTCTCGCCTTCAAAGAGCTGAGCAGCTTGCTGCCAGAGGCGCGTGACCCATTTATTCTCACGATCTCGTCGGTCGCGTGCTCCAAGCTTCGCTTGAGCAATTATCAAAGAATCTCGCATTACGTCTAATTCAGCATTGAGGAGTGCACGCCTCGCAATAACATCGCGCACCTTAACGGAAGTGGCGGCAGATCGGGACGCTTTATTTGACACGCGTGCCACTGCCTCATCCCGCTCGATACGGGTCTTCGCCTCTTCGCGGCGCGCATCACGAAGGGCACCAGAAATATCACTGGTAGTGCGCATTGCGTGACCGAGTTGGCCGACGATGGAAGCTGTTGCCGCCGCCTCCGGGGCCACGCATTGATCAAGTGAGTTCACTAGGTCGCCCTGAGCAGCGCATGCGGCCTGTGCAGCTAGTTGTTCATCATACAGCATCGCCTGAATATTATCGAGATCACGACCTTGTTCGCTTTGTAAATCGAGCCGAGCTTGACTATCTTCGGCTGCGAGTTGCACAGTAGCTATGGCATCGCTAGCCAGGAGCATCGTCAGCTGCTCCATTGCCAACGCATCCATAGCGCGCTGGAAGCGTGTTCGTTCCGCATTGCTCATTGCGCGCAATGCAGCATCACGATCGCGTTCAACGTTGAGGCGTGCTACCTTGACACTTGCAAGCTTGCATGCGCGTTGCGCATCAAGAAGTTGCTTTGTCACGGCTGCAAGGCCTTCCTCACGGTCCTGCGCCAGTTCCTTGGCGCTGCTTACAAGTGGATTTTCCAAAGGTGCTCTCTCGCCCATACCCGAGTAGCTGCCACACTGGAAATTATGTTTGGCACGAGTTTCAGTGAGTTCCATTTCGACCTGGGTGGTGGCGCTCGAAGCATGCGTTGCATCTTCCTCAGCAGCGAATACACGAAGCTCAAGGGTAGCGAGCGAGTCACGTAGCGTCGTCTCGTGACAATTTGTCTGCATTGCTAATTCCTTCACTGCGGCACCTCCCGAAGATGATGCGACAAGCTCATCTCTCGTCAGATCACAGTGTCGTACGATAGCCAAGTCGGCACAGCACGCTGCATCGGCGGCATCTGCACATCTATCTGCATCTGCCTCTGCTGCGGAGAGTCTGTCGGCTGCTGCTGCGAGCAACACAGACGCATGGTTAGAAAGCGTAGACATGTGCGCCGCCTCGCTGCGTGCATCATCTAGTTTGCTTTGTGGTCCTTCAAGCGAGTCATGCTGACAGACCAATTCGCTACCCACGCGCCCACGCAGTCTTTCAGCACATCTGTGCTCACGATCGATAGTTGTCTCTAGGCTCTCGGTCAAGACCTGCTTTTCTTGCCACTCCACGTCCAGACGTGTACTCTCGTGTGCCGCGCGCTCACTTTGAATCTGGATAGATGCCTTTGCAGCATCAAACGCCGCACTCTCAGCTCCGAGACGATCCTGGGCGAAGCGCAGGCTCGGTCTACGGCAAGAGCTGCCGTCAAGCACTTCTCACGAGCCCGGGCGCGCACTACTTCTAGAACGATGGCAAGCTCTTCAGCGTTGCGCTCAAGAGCATGAACTTGCTCTGTTGTCGCCAGCTGCCGTTTAGCCAGATTCTCTTCAATGTGGATTGCATCGCGCGACTCAAGGGCCTGATGCGCTAGCGCAAACGCGGCTGCCGCTTCGTGCCGGTCGCATTGAGCTGTCGCATTCCGAGTCGCCTCGTCCGCAGCGCTCAGTTCATCAACAGCATAGACAGACTGAACCCGCTGTGTCTCGACCTCGCCACGTGTCGAAAACAGGATCCGTTCCAGCGCCTCAACATCTGACGCTGCATCTATGGTGGCACGCTGCTCAAATTCGACCCTCGACTTGAGCTTGTCCCTTTCTTCCCTCAGATCATTGTGTGCGACCTGCGCTGCTGGTAAATCGATCTCAATACGCCGACCAGACATCTCCTCTGCCGCCTTGGCTTGCACACGCAAGCCAACGGCCTCATCTTGCGCATTGACCAGCTGTAACTTGCGTTCCGTGATCTCTTGTTCTGCCGTTGTCACGCGGATACGGAGCAGCTTGAGGTCGCTTTCTGCCCTGGCTTTGGCTGCTAGCTGCATGTTACGCTCCTTTTCGGCATCATCGCGGGCTGCGAGAAGTTCCGCGGCTTCCTTAGCTGCCAAGTTCGCAACCTCCTCAAGTTTGGGCCGACGTATAGAGTCTTTTTTTGCCCTTCGAGAGGCTCGATCTGCACGTTCACGTAGTTTTTCCAACTCCTTCGAAACACCCTCCGACTCGGCTTCGACCGCGCGTAGCTCCTCCTCAACGAGCGTCTTACGTTCAGTCAGGTCATCACGCTCCGCCTTCAGAGCCACGTGCCGGTCAGATGCAGCACGCAATCGAGTGGTTGTACGCGCAGTTAGTGTTTCAATGGACGTGTCGAAAAAATCTTCTTCAGCTTCCTCGTCATCTTCGTCGTCATCGTCATCTTCGTCTTCACCAATTGCAGTCAGGGCCGAGATATGGCGGGATGTTTCTGACTCTGCAAACCTGGCAAGCAGAAATTGAGTTGGGTCCAAAACTATTCCTTCCTGGAGAATTGCTCGTGTAATAGACACCGCGGCTTTGAGACATGACCCTCTTCGGCGGCGACGCTGCTTGGCTCCCTTCATCGCCGGTGTAACCATCCTCATTTTCCTCGTTAGCCTCTTGTATTTCGAGGTAGTTCTGCGGTTCTAGCACAAACTTGGCTCTTTTTGTCATCTTCTCCGCAATTGCTGAGGTAATAAGTTGCCTGTTCTCGATCATCACCTAGTGTGTCACAAAGCACTTAACGAAAGCTCCCGGACAGATGATTACACCAGCTTGCGCACTGACTGGAGACGTCGTCGGCCAACCGCGACTGCTTTCATATTGCGCTGGAGCTTGTGCGAAGTTGCATACTCGCCAACCTTCTGAGCAGCTTTAGTGGCAGACACGGTCATTTGGAGAAGAGCTTGCATCTGGTCGGCCTGGGCTCGTGCCTGCTCCATCTCTGAGGCGGCGGCTTCGTTCTCCTGAGTAAGTTCGGCAACAACGGAGGATTGCTTCTCTTCCGCTGCCAGCTGTTCTTTCAGTGCGCTTATCTCCTTCTTCAGCGAAGCAAGCATGGAATCTTTGCTGTCAATTACGACTTGTGTGGGTGTGTTGACAATTCTTTTTGCGCGAGATGCATACCGGAGTGTTGACTGTGTCTCTTCACGATTCCTTGAGGCGGGTGAAATAGCAGCAAGCATGCAAGTCCGCGCATTACCACCTAACGACCCCTGCAGGAGCCGCGTCAGCTTAGAATCGCGGTACGGGATGTGTTTGATGGCCTTCCCCTTGGCCGATGCAGCGGAATTAGCCGCAAGCGTCGAGATCACTGTTCCCAGCGCAAGTAACGACTTGTTGATCATGTTGCCCTCCTTGAGTCGAGATCCTGTCGCGCCTGTCTTCTGTTGACGTTCAGAACCTGCTAAGTCAACAAGGTTGAGCACCGCGAGTGCAATGCCAGATGCTTGGCTACCCGACTTGTATGTGTTAGATTCAGCAACGACCCTGCTTCCTCGCCTGACCGGGCCTGACGCGGCTAACTTGAGACCAGCTCGGTGCATCGGTGCCGTGGCGCCACCAGACTCGATGATGACACGAAAAATAACATGAGAGCGTGAAGATGTCGAGTTCATAGCCGTCTCTCCGTACGAGCGGTGCTTTTCGCCGATTGCGAGCACAGTGTCAAGCTCGGACTCTGAAGTAACCACCTCTTCGTGCAGGTCATTCACCACAGGGCCACGCGTCGGATCTTCTGTAATTTGGTGTTTCGTTCCTTCCCTTGGGCGCAAGAGGTCACGAATCTCTTCATTGTAGAGTTCAAGGTATGATACTCGCACAAGGCTCTCGTTCGATGCAATCTTGGATTCAAGGTTGCCTAAAGTAGTGTGAGTTGCGAGAAGTCAATATTTACGTATCTTACCAAATATTTCTTTCATAGAAAGTTTCAGTACACCTGGGTCGGCATCGCTACCAACCATTGTGTGCGTTTTCCCCGAAGAAGTTTGACCATATGCAAATATCGTAGAGTTGTAGCCGTCGAGAGTGTTTTGTACAAGCGGTGAAGCAATCGATTGGTAGACACGTGCTGTACTCACCGCCGGTCCAAACACGGCATCGTAGCTGTGCTCAGACATTCGATCTTTCCCCACATCATTAAGCTGCACAACCTTCAAACCAGCTTCCTCGACCATGACAGCCACTGATTTTGATTCCAGTTCTATCGAATTCAGCGGTCGGATGCGCAGCCCTACGCTCACGCGATCACAGGCCGACTCCAGCACTGGCGCCTCGTTAGAAAAAGACGTCATAGCGTAAAATTCAGGCAGTGATCACAAAGTCAGAGAATACTAGTCGGGAGCTTTACACACCTAATTGTTTCGCTGCAAAGGCTCAACCACATACAAGACTAGTGCTGAGAATCGACTCGTTTGGGCTCTAGAGCTCAAACAAGCTCACAACCAACGCCGTCCATTGGATATACGCTGCGTGCCTCGGTATTTTTCAGTTCAACATCCCGCTGAAGCTGCACTTATGGACATCGTGTGGTCCATATTTCCGTCCACTTGGCCTTTCGTATCTCCCACTAGCCTGAAGCTAAAGGAAGCAGGGTAAACTCCTCCCTCAAAGGGGGGCTGAGCTCCATTCAATTAAAGATGCCAGAATGAAGGCCGACGGGCCGCGCCTGGATCTCAACTCCGCCGATTCAAAACTCCGGTCTCTAACCCGGCTGCCAGTGGCACCACGACTACTGAGAATCGTATCATGACGGCGCACTTTGCTAGAAATGTCATCAACAGTACTCTTTAACTCCTCCAGTTGGCCCATCTAGCTGAAGAAGCGGCTCAGAAGCTAAGAGATGATCAAGCTATGGCAGATCCTCTTGCAGCAACTGAAAGAGAAGAAGCAGCCAGAGCAGAAGCAGCAGCGGCTGTAGAAGCTAGACTTAAGGCTGAGCGTGACGCCGCAAGAAATCAGTCACCAGCCTTAGCAGATCGACCTTTACAAATGATTGGCAATGCCATGCAAACCATGAACCAGCTTTTGACTGAGACTGGGTCGACTCCGAGTCAGTAGGCTCAGTATGGGCCGACGCGACCGGCCGCGCGGCGGCCCGGAAGAGGCCCCACTCGACCCCGCTCCGCACCCCGGGCCGCCGCCGCCCCACGGACCCTACGGGCTCCCTGCCACAGTGGACAAAGATGGCGCCAGACCCGGGCGCTAGACCCGGGGCTCTTAAGGGCGACTAAGGAGGGGGGCAAGTCGCAAACTCAGCTTCGTTGGGTTTCTCGTGTCCAGACGGGGCCACAGGGAACCCGAAACGCCCCCGATAATTTTGGGTCGGCGGCTGGGGAGCGCGGCTGGGGGCATTACTCAGGCGCCGGGGGTGCGGGTGGGGCCCGAACTGGAAAGCGTCGAATTTCCCGCGTTCGGGGTGCGTTCGGGGGCGTCCAGGGGGCGTCAAATCGCGGGCTGAGTCCGGATGGTTTCTCATGCCAAGGCGGGGGGGGGGGGATACCGATGTCCGGGTTTCCCACGTCCAGCTCACAGCCGACACCAAACCAATACCCGAAGTTATCAACATTCCCCCGCGGGGAATCACCAGCATTGCTGCGTCCAGGCGCAAAGCGCCTTGCTTTTTGAGCAGAAAAGCCATATGCGAGGGGGGCGGAATAAATTTCCTGTGTCCGAGTGAAGGCGCGATGGTCGCGATTAAGCCTCCCCCGATTTCCTTTGGGCCGCCATAGGAAGGTCTCGAGCGGCAAGTCTTTACCCCATGTGGGAAGCTATTTGATGCAATCGGCAACTATCTGCGAGATTTGTAGAACGGGTGATCGCACCGCCATTTTTAGCACACAGCCCGCTTTTTCGTCAAGTAGGAGCTGGGCCCGGACCAAGACGCGAACGTCCACCCAAAATATTCCAGAGAGATGAAGGCTATGGGGTACTCCCGCTTTTGTTCTATCAGTAATGGTTTGAGAATTGTCTTCTGGCCTAAGTGAGTTATAATTTCAGGATGCTAGATTGACTGATCACGACGCACTGCATTCCAAGGCACGCTGTAACAGCGGTGACGGCACTTTCTAGGTCTTTGAACTGCAAGCTAAATTTTTCTAGTACTTCTCCATCTCTGTCAAGAGATTCCCATGCGCTACGGAAATCAGTATCAGCGACCCGTGCCTGAAGAGCCAGTCAACACTAATCCTAGCCGTAGAGAAACACACCTTGCCCATAAAATCATTAGTGGAAATCTCAACGTCTTCTAAAGGATACTCTTCTGCAAATCCATCTTCATCACCTTCAATTTCTGCAGTATTTGGGTCGATTTCAAGAACACGGAATTTTAGTTCGGCTACAAATTGAGCGGCAAAAATATTACTCTCACTAGTGTTCCGACGCAGCACCAGCCAAGATCGGGTCGTCACACCTGTCACAGATTTTGTTGGTAGACCTTCACACACTAAATTTAGGGAATACCGCATCGAAGCTTGGCAGCACTGATGGACTGCACAATGGTGTAAACGTTGTCGTCGTCGGTGGATTCGAGAGTAATACCTGACATGCCATGTTCAAATAAACCAATGGGCAAATGAAACACTCCAAACATCACGTGCATCGACCAGAAGTTGATCGGCAATGGTGTTAGTGATAAGAAACTCAAGAATGACATGGTCATTATCCATTATATGCTTGACAACTGAGACAACATACTCAGTCTCAGACTCGGTCAACTCTATTGGTGATGTTGACCGAAACACTTTGCCGAGTGTAGCAAATTCAGGCATCTTGTATAGCTCGGTAGCAACGTCCTCTGTTGCTGGGCTAGACGTATGTATAGCAGTGCTTGCACTCTACGAGAAAATTGTATCAGCAAGGACATTTTAAAACCCTGACCTGGGCTGAAGCTGCAGGACCCATATCGTCGACGACGGGTAAAGTTGTCATATTCAATGCTAGCCCTTCTTCCTCGAGACCGTGTGCCACATTAAATTTATTTAAGGCGCATCCAAGCCGGGAAAATGACATGGAAAACGGTTCAAGCAACAAGTTGACTTCTGTAGTATTCTGTGGTGAGCATTTATGCGAAGCAAAATTATTGCAGTCCATGATTTCAGCTGAAGAATTATCATTTGCGGTTGTGGAGAGTACAGCAACAAGATCGTCACCCAGAAGGCGAAGAGCAAGTGTTGCACGATCGCGGACTTCGTCATCTTCATCGCGCAGAGAACGGCGCAACAGCACTGATACCGAGGCCCGTAGCGTCGGGAGCTGCGCTGCAAATTTGGTGAGCGCCGTCACAGCCGCTGCTCTCACAACTGCGTTCTCCAGAATAACCCTGTTGTAGACGAATCGTATGTATCGTGCGGGTGCAGCTGCGGTTGGGCCAAGGGAACCAACGAGGTGGAGAATCTGTGTTGAGAGCGCAGTGAACTCACAGTCTTCAATGAATTCACAGAGATGAAGTAGTGATGACTCCTTGGTTTCAGGAATTGCACACATGAGGGCAACAATAGCATCGACTATGGCCTTTTTGAAATCAAAACCACCTTCTTCCCGCAAAAAATTAGCGAGAAAACCGACAAGCACGCGATGCTTGAGAGGGTACTTGAGGCAAAGCTCACGAATTGCTGTAACTACGACAATTTTGAACTCATCGGCAATTTCGTTCATGAATGATGATATTTGCTTCATCAGGCGATCGACAGAGGACTCAGAGCCTGTCTTAAGTAAGGTTGTTATTGCAAATGTTGCGATTGAGCGGTTGCTGTCGGAGATAAGAGACTCCATATCGTCATTGCATTTGATGACCGCTGCTGGCTTTGCTATTGCTATATCACATAATGCCCGCATCGCTGCAAGTCGAAGAGTAGCTTTTGGCGAAGACAGAAACAGCTGCAATACTGCTACAGCTGGGCCGAGGTCGCGCTCTTCCACACCTGGTAGTGAAACAATAGCTTTGGCTGCTTCATAAATCACTGCTTCTGAGCGATGGCGAAGTGATAGTTCGAGAAATTGATAAGCAGCGCGACCAGTTGCGCTGGCGAGCATGTCTACATCGCTGCCTTTTAAGATTGCGGTTATGTATCGGATGAGCAAGCATGTTGCCATTGGGCTGGAAATTGCACCACGGGTCAGCTGTGCAACCATTTTGGAAATTGCAAGGCGGTCATGCTGCTTGATTTCATACAACAATGACAATGCATGGAATTGTACCATTTCTGACGGAGAGTGCAAAGCCTCCTGCACTTCGTTGACCCACCTCCGGACGACATCCGGGGACCCCCTAATCAGGTGCGCGCCTACATATTGTCAAAGTAACAAAGCACACGAAGTCTAGAACGCAGTTGTTCACCGGCCACTAAAGCAGACGACGATACCATCGCGTTCTTGTCTACGATTGCCTGCTTCACATATCGCTCGATTGCACCAAGCATTGTAGCATCAATCCTGAGTTTGATGGCTTGTAGGTTGTGGGTAACAGTGTCAAAACTAACATCTTTGCAAGTACCCGAATCGAGTTTGCTCGAAACAAATCTTCGTTCGAGTTCATATCTTTGGTGAGCGAGGAGGTTACAATAATGACGTCATCAGGGTTGCATGTTTCTGCGACCTATTTGAGTAAGCCACGTGCAAATTTATGCAAGATCCCAGCAGAAATGACAACCTCTTTGATAAAAAAGTACACCATTCTTCGAAGCGATGCATCAGTTGATTGGAAGAGTTTTGTTACACCAAAGAAGACCTCAGTCACTTCCGATGACGACATGGCATCACCTTGAGTCACAATGTGCAGAAGTTTGGTGATAAGCTGCGAGCACTTCCTTGGAGATTCTGTCACGACTTTTGCATCTGAGAATACTCGGCATTCTTGTAACACTGTGGCTTTTTCAAGATCGGCAAACGGCGAAGCTGAAATCAAAGTCAGGTGAATGGTTGGGTTAAAACGCACGACAGTCGGCATCCTCGCGCTTAAACTTATCCTTCAGACCTTGAATTTCTTTGACCATAGATGAGAGAGAGAGTCCGCTAGTTTCTTCGAGGCCATCCGACATCTCGGCTCACGGATCGACGGCCGATGTCTGCTGCTACTAGCATACACAAGGATAGCTAGGGTTCAACGTAACTTCGACCACGGTCGCCACAGCGCTCGTTTTGCGCGGGGTTTTGCCTGGGACTTGCCAGTCGTCCTATGGGGAGTTGCCCAAAATAGGAATGGCGTCCATTGGACACGATCCGGCGACCACAGAGTCCTACCAGTAGCTGCATAGGGTCCCCGGCTTATCCCGGTGCTCCGACAATCGGGCGTTTGAAACCGAGGACCACGACGACGAGAATGAACCTGAGATTATTTTGACATCGACAGTGTCGGGGAGCCTCCCTGACCACTCCTCCAAAGCCACATAGGCCCCCTGGACGGCGTCCCACAGTGCGAGCTGCGCGTTACTGAGCCCAGTGCACCGATCAAAACTCAGATTCTGATAGCCTGGATTTAAAAGTCAACATTTTTGTTGAACTTCAGCACTTTTGTTGAAGTTAAATCTTGCGATTTCGCGACCCGAACCAGCGACCGCGCGCAAAAAGCCATCGCAAACGTGCAATTAACGCGCGAATATCATCAAACTTGCTTTGATACGACCATAACCCAATTTTGGCCGTGATTTCAGCCCGCGGACCGCCGCGACACCGCGCCCGCGCGCGCGGTCGACGTACAGCCTCTATGGACGACTAATGACTCTGGCTCCGCCGGCCGGAATTCGATGATTGATCTTTATTAATTAATTTCCTATGGGTGCACCTAGATGTACGTTGATCGGGGCACTGACTGAGCCCAATGGATCTAGATACAGCGCCCAAAAGCTGATCAGGGCTGACGAATTCAAGGCCTGGCAGGGAGATGGGGTCGAGCCCTTCCGCGACCAACCTTATAACCCTCCCGCCGCCCGGTTGGGCTTCCATTACCGTCGAGATTACCAGAAAACCATGCCCAGTGAACTCTAGCCGGTCGCCCGACCCCCGGACTAGGGATGTTACTTAGTATTTTTTTAGCTGGATCTCAAGAGCTCGCCGAGATTACCTTAAATTTACAATCTTAGGCTGAGTGGAGTTCCTAGGGCCGAGCATTACCGGAATTACCTAAGACCTACGGAGGCCCTTAGGGTGTACGTAAGAGCTCCGACGTACGTGGCATGTCACAGAACATACTCGTGCTGCCCCTGAGGCCCCGCGGCCCCGCGGCCGCCGCCGGCGGCAGGACCCCCCTTGCGTCGAACGGGACCCCAGGCCCTGAGGGAACCCACGACGTCCCCGATAATTCTGGGTCGGCGGCTGGGGGCTTTATTCAGGCGCCGGGGGGCGCGGGCGGGCCCCAAACTAGAACGCGTCGAATTTCCCGCGTTCGCACTCGGCCCGACTAATATCCCGGCGCGGCTAGCTCAACGCAAATAGTCCCCACGGCGCGGCTGGCACCTGAAAAGTTCTGCTTTTTACACTGCTGGCGGCTGGGGGCTTCACGCGGGCGCAGGCGGGGCCCGAACTAGAGCACGTCGAATTCCCCGCGGGCTGGGTCCGGCGAGGCCGATACTTGCTGGCGTCAAGCGAGCGAACATGAACCCACATACATCCCCGACAATGTTGCGTCAGTTGGAAATTTGACAGGCAACATTTTTGCCGCTAAAACCACGCATATGGCCGCGCACCCGGGGCATGCAACCAGCGACTTGATTCAAGAGCCGTTCCAATTCTCGCTCGAGCCGCAAACTTGAGATCTAGCGTGTTCTCTCGTCCGGTAGGGTCATGACTAATTTAGTTGACTTGGCAATAGGAACTCTGTTTCAGTTTTGCAAACACTAATTTGGCCAAGAAAAGGGCAAGGGCAGGTCTGCTTCCGCGCACCCAAGGGACTCTAGGGACAATGTGTTTATCGCGACAGTCACGTCAGACTCTGAGGGCCGACAGTCTTTGAGCATGACAACACCCGTGGGTCTTACCTTGGCAACTGCAGGGATGTAACGCTGATCAAAGAAGAAGGAACAATGCGCTTGCTGAGCATCTAATATACGAGACGGGTTGGGAAGAAAGTGATGTTTCTCGCTGTGTGATTCATCCTCCGCACTTTTTCCTTCGTTCAGCTGCGTGTTCTTCGAGCTTATTAGTCTGACGGTGTCCGGCGCATCTGAATGATAAGAATCACGATGATCTTTTTCTCTGTCTCTCATTCTGTCTCTAGCTTGCTGCTTCAGAGTTGTTGACAAGATTGCGGTTACAACGCGCTCCCTCTTGGCTTCCTTTTTCTCTTTGATCTTGGATGGATACGCGTACTTCGATGCCGTGGATGCGCAAAATACACTAAAAGACGTGGGCAATCTGAAATCCTTATTCACTCCAACCAGCACAGACGGAGTGAGCGCAAGGGAAAAGAAGTGCAGCATTGGATACCAATACCAATGTTGAGTCCAAAGAGCAATACCTATGCACGCGCTTGGGCGAATGAAACCACCAGATGAGCACAGAGAAACAGAGCAATTCCGCCCACCAGCATCTATGATCCCAGCAGCGACAATGGCACCAAGTTTGGTCAATGCGGAAGGATATTTGTCTTTAACCATTTTAGCTATCTTTTCGCGAAACCATTTGACTGACGGCGTGTTAAATTCTGACTGCTGCATCAGGATAAGAGACAGCGACAGCAAGCAACCCTGCCGGACGAAGTCGACAGGGTCGGATAGCATTGGCTGCAATAAAAGCAGAGACTCGGGATCTCCAGTACCAGCGCACGAAATTCCTATGGCTAGGCATGCACCGTAGCGAACATGAGGATTGAAGCTCTCCGCTAATAATGTTACCAGAGTTGGTACTCTACGCGGACTGCGAAACAAGACCAACCCAAGACACGTGACAGCAGCTCTGCGCACATCATCTGAAACATCAGACACAGCAACGTGTAAGAGACGCCGGACTGCAGAATTGTGCGCCGTTCCAACATAAGCTAACCCGATCGCATACATACCCCCATACCGAATGATTGCATCACGATCTCGACAGAGCTGCTCTATCACTGGCTCAGCAAGATTCTCTTGGCCAAACCCAATAAGAGCTAATGAGAGGACAATGCTGCGAATTATTTTTTCATGTGCG